CAGTGGTTCTCAACCTTCTGGCCCTTTAAATACAGTTCCTCATGTTGTGACCCAACCATAAAATTATTTTCATTGCTACTTCATAACTGTAATGTTGCTACTGTTATGAATCGTAATGTAAATATCTGATATGCAGGATGGTCTTAGGTGACCCCTGTGAAAGTGTCATTTGACCGCCAAAGGGGTCTTGACCCACAGATTGAGAACCGCTGCTTTAGAGGAAAGAATTTAGAAAGATAATTACAACCCATGAAACGAAATGCACTTTACAGCTTTAAAGGAAAGTGCATTATCTCATTAGACCCTCACAATATTGCAATAATGTCCAAACCTGTGGAGAATTTTTATGAGTTTATTTGAGCCAAACTGATGACATGCCTGGAAGCAAGATCTAACATGCTCACAAGAAGGACAGTTTTGCAGTTCTTTTTATATATTTGAATTAGAGAGGGACATAAGAAAGATTACATGGAGGTGGTGAAAGGGCGAGGGCTATGCCCTCCATCTTGCCCCGAATCCTCCATTTTTGGGCAGCAGCCATGTGCTCAGCATGGAGCTTCTTCCCAGAAGAAGTCCAAGCCTCTGCTAGCCACACCTAGGATTTCTTTAAACTAACCAATGATAATCAAGGGAAGTGCACGCCATAGATATGACGACCACATCCTGTGTAACAAGACACTGACTTGCACCTGGCCAATCGGCAGGGCCCACAGTCCTCTCTCCTCCCCTTACTCCAACCCCCCTATAAAACCCCTCTACCCACAAAGCTCTCTCTCTGCCACTTGCCGCTGCGTCGGTAAGGAGGGTAGGGGAGCCAAGCCCAGGCTTGAATAAAGACTCTTTGCTTTTGCATCGGACACAGCTGGCTCCCTGGTGTGGTCTCTTGGGGATCCTGAAATCTGGGCATAACAGTGGGAGAGAGCAAGGCAGGAAAATCCCTGTGATTAGATTACATGATAGTTAATAAGATTGTGTGATCCATTGAGGGTGCTTATGCCTCCCAGGAGTCTGCAAAAGAGGATCACTCTGGCATTTCAAAGGTCTGTTAACCGAGGTGCACAAAAGCAATGGATAGTCTTGCTTCAATAAAGGGAATAGCAACTTCACATCTTCCATCCAGCACCTGGATAGGCTGGGGCAGTGGTCGGCAAACTCATTAGTCAACAGAGCCAAATATCAACAGTACAATGATTGAAATTTCTTTTGAGAGCCAAATTTTTTAAACTTTAAATTATATAGGTAGGTACATTGTTATTAACTTAATTAGGGTACTCCTAAGGCTTAGGAAGAGCCACACTCACGGGGCCAAAGAGCCGCATGTGGCTCGAGAGCCGTAGTTTGCCGACCACGGGTCTAGGGTATGACTATCCACCATCACCTGCCTAGTTAGGACTTTATGATCAAATTAGCCTGTGAGGTTACTTTTGGCACTGATTTTATTACAGAGCCTCATCTTCATTCACAGTATTCATGTGTAAGCTTAACAAGTTTCTAGCTCAGTGACTTAAAAGATGTCACTTACCTTCCTGAATATACTTTTCTTATCTTAGAAAGAAGTATAACCATATTTCATGGTTTTTGTGTCATTTTGTCATACAAATGTATTAGTAGAAGCAAAAATCTTTTTTAAAGTACTAGCACTACCTTTAAAACTTCCTGAAAATTCAGTAAGAAGGCATTATTATGACCATTTATAGGTAAAAAGAGGTTGAGAGAAGCCAGTCATACCAACAGTAAGTAAAATTTGGAACTAAAGCACAGATTTTTTATTATTGACCAATATATTACCTTCAGAATCATGGTGGTGGACATCAAAGGTCAAACAGGAAAAAAAACTATGTCCTTTGTGCGACAACAGTGCCCTGAGCTAACACCTATGCAGAGAAGTCTAGGCTGATTACAGGAGAAGAGTGGTGGGTCTTCAGGTGTCACTTCAGGGAATCTCTTTCTGGCCTAATTAAAAGCACAGCCTTTTTTCTTAAAAATCCTCTCTAATCCTTTTAGACAATTAGAAAATGGACTGGGGGATAAAAAGAATGTTATCCTGACTAGATATGAGTATATAATAATGATCTTGGAAATAGGTATAGCAGAAAAAAATAGTAAGAGTTGATAAGATTCTATAAATATTTTAAATGAAGTGATAATGGGACTCACTGATGGGTTGAATATGTGATGAGAGAGAGAGGAATAAAGAGTAATTATAAAGTTAGGGTTCTGAGTCATGAAGGATAAGTTTGCATCTACTCAGATGGGGAAGTGTGTAAATGAGCATATCTTAGAGATAAGACCATGTTTATCTGACATGCAAATGAAATTATTGACTAGGAGTTAAAATTCTATGGAAGAGACCAAGCTTGAGACATAATGTGAATATCTTAAACCTAAGAAGAGTATTTACAACTGTGACACTGGATAAGATAAAAAAAAAGAATGGAAACAGAAAAAATAAAAATTCTAGAATTGCATTTTGGAGCATACCTTTTAGATGTCCTTTAGATGAATAAAAGAAACCTGCAAAGTATCTGAGAAGGAATAAGGGAAAAGGTAGGAAATAAGCAGACATAGCAGACAAAGAGCAATATTCAGAAATATTTGTTTTGATCTCTTCTGTTTATCAATGATAACAAATAATTCCCATTAGGACCTCTTTTTACTCTTTCTGATATTTCCTGCTGTTTCACTAAAGATAGTTGCTTCTTATACAAATTAAAAGGAATTATATAGATATATTCAATTATTGGTTTCATATAGGAATCAGATTGGAATAGGCTTTAAAATAAGCATAATATTTTAAAAATGGAGCCATATCTAATGCAATTAAATGTATGATACTTGAAGTCAAGTTACATAATAACAAACTTGGAAGGAAAGGCTTTCACGGACTAGATGAGCTATATTGTTATCATTTTTTCACATTTTATGTAATAAATAAAGCTCTTATACCTTTATTTAATTCACAAATATTAAAACATGTTAAACATTTAACATACCATGAAATCTGCAAAAACATTGCATGGTAAACTTTTCTTTTCCTGAAAAGCTATCCAAAAAAATGTTGCTATCATTAAAAAGTACCAAATATAAGGTACAGGCAAATATGAAACCAAAAGACAAGTATGTAAGGTATTTTCTTAATTATAAACTAGAGTGAAGATATAATTTAAAAAAGGTTAAAACCCCCAAGGAAAATATGGGGGAAAATAGCATGTACTTAACGTAGACTCCACAAAATACATAGTCACAAGGCAGATGGCAGAACCAACTTGAAAAACAACACATACTCTGCCTAAAAGACCTCAAAAGGACAAAAATGTTTGTGGAAGAATGCTGTGAATGGGAATATTTATATCCATGAAGACAAAATTACTCTAAAATAAATATAATCACTTCATTGTAATCATTTTTTTTAAATTTCTTTATTGATTAAGGTAGGGGTCCTCAAACTTTTTAAACAGGGGGCCAGTTCACTGTCCCTCAGACCGTTGGAGGGCCGGACTATAGTTTAAAAAAAAACTATGAACAAATTCCTATGCACACTGCACATATCTTATTTTGAAGTAAAAAAACAAAATGGGAACAAATACAATATTTGTATTTGCATGTGGCCCACGGGCCATAGTTTGAGGACCCCTGGATTAAGGTATTACATATGTGTCCTTATTCCCCCATTATCTCCTCCCCTACCCCCCTCACTCATGCCCTCACCCCCCTGGTGTCTGTGTCCATTGGTTAGGCTTATATGCATGCATACAAGTTCTTTGGTTGATCTCTCCCCCTTACCCCCACCCTCCCCTACCTTCCCTCTGAGGTTTGATGGTCTGATCAATGTTTCTGTGTCTCTGGATCTATGCTTTATTTTTTAACTAGAGGCCCGGTGCCGCAGAGGCAAGAGAGGTTCCCACTACTGCTGCAATGCTCACCAGCCCTGAGCCTGGCTTCTGGCTGAGCAGGGGGAACACACTGACCACCAGGGAGCAGCTCCTGCATTGAGCGGGATTGGGCTGAAACCAGCTCTCCGACATCCCCTGAGGGGTCTCGGATTGCCAGAGGGTGCAGGCCAGACTGAGGGACCCCACTGGTGTACAATCAGGGCCGGGGAGGGCACAGGAGGTTGGCCAGCTGGGGAGGGACCATGGAAGGGCTCCAGGGCATGTTTGGCCGATCTCTCTCAGTCCCTATCAGCTGGACCCCAGCAGCAAATTAACCTATCGGTCGGAGCATCTGCTCCCTGGTGGTCAGTGCACGTCATAGCGACTGGTCAACTGTCTGCCCCCTGATGGTCAATGAATGTCATAGCGAGCAGTTGAGCGGCCTTAGTATATCATTAGCATATTATGATTGGTTGAACGGACAACCGAACAACCGGACACTTAGCATATTATGTAGGATTATAATTGACATACAATTTATTTGTTTCAGGTATAAAACATAATTATATAAAACACATATAATTTACAAAGTGATCATTCTGATAAATGCAGAACCCACCAGGCACCACACATAGTTAATGCAATATTATATCCCCTATGCTATACTTTACATCCCCATGTATTATAGGCAGTTTTTTATCAGATATAATAAATTCTATCTCTTTATTTAAACTTTTTTCTACTATTTACAGATATTCATTCTTCCATACTAACTTCAAAATTACTTTATCCAACTTTTTTTATAAAAAGACTCATGCATGCAACCATATACAAAAATAAATTTCATATGGGTTAGAAGTTAAATGCTGCAACTGAAACAAACCCTTTTGAAGGAAAATACTTTATAAGAGATACTTTGTCAAAAAATGCAAACTATAAAAGAAAGACCTTTGTCTCCATTATCTCTACACCCTAGGACAGTGATGGTGAACCTTTTGAGCTCGGCATGTCAGCATTTTGAAAAACCCTAACTTAACTCTGGTTCCGTGTCACATATAGAAATTTTTTGATATTTGCAACCATAGTAAAACAAAGATTCGTATTTTTGATATTTATTTTATATATTTAAATGCCATTTAACAAAGAAAAATAAACCAAAAAAATGAGTTCGCATGTCACCTCTGTCATAGGTTGGCCATCACTGCCCTAGGAGCTCTCTAGATAAATCTGAGGCTCTCTTACAGCCATTGAGCTTCTCAACCCTGAGCATGACTTATGTGTCCAGGGTTCTGCTTGATTGTTTCCTTTATAATCAGGAAGCATTTGTACTGGATATTAGTAAGAGACAAGAGAGAGACATCTTTCATGCCACTTGGCCTCAGTTTCAATTCTGTTCCCCAAACAAGCTCAATCTCAGGCTCTTTACTTGTCACTAAAACAGTTTCACTGCTCTTTAGCCCTGACCCAAATACAAAAAATATAAAGACAATGCAGGACCTGAAGGGGAAGTAAAATTTCTAAAGCCATAGTGATGCATGTCATGGGTTTATTGAACTTCACATTGTTCTGCTCTTTCTTTCAGATGCCCTGTTTGTTCCAGTCCACAACTGGCTGATGAGTTTTTTTATACTTTCATCTGCGATGTTGTTTTTTATCTTTGTGCTCCTTGTCTACTGGTGTTTCAAAAGAAAAGGTAACTACTGCAACAAAGATGGAATCATTTAGGGCATCTCTCTTAATGTGATACCTAAGTCACATGGGGTGCTTAAATAGAGCAGTATGTCATTTGTCAACAAATGCCAAGCCTTACATAGAATGATTTAGGGCTTGTTTCTCACTTTAGAAGTGTTAAACTCCACACCTCTCAATTAGGAGCTTCCCAGGACAAGGGTCTTTGGAGGAATAAGGTCAGTATAAATGTCTCCTGAGCTGCGTAGGCCCAGTTACTTCTATGCCTCATCAGGTGTGCTTTCTCTCTTAGGTAAGAGTCTATTCAATCAAAATTAAATGTATCCAACCTCTGATTCACTTAAAATAATTTAGTGATGGGTGAACCCTGAGTCTTGCTCTAGGATACACTTAATTTTATCACAATCTCCTTGCCTGCACAGATTGCCATCAATGTTTAAGATACTATCTCCATTTGAGGACTAGAACAAAACTAACATGAAAAAGAAATAGGTCTCTAAACCAACAAGTCCTTTGTAACCAGACTGTTCCCTAGGGTTTTCTGGCTAAACTAAATGACTATAACATCTTTATGAATAGATCACTGAATGATACAGTGGCCCATCAGGTACAAGTACATCAGACTTTTTTTTTAAGAACAACTCTTCTTCCAAAATATAACCAAGCAAAGTAGCTCATATATAGTTGAGTAAACTGCTAGATTTGGGATGTGAATTTGGAGATGGAGTAAACAATTTAATGGAGGTGAGAAGATGAGTCAACAGAGAGGATATAATTCATTGTGTGTTTTTGTTGTTGTTTTTTTTTTTTTTTTACCAGATCCTTAAAACCTGACACCATACTTATTCAGTGCCTACTTTATGCTGGGCATTGTGATAATAATTTCACAAAATTTATCTAAATTAAGCCTGAAAGGCAGTGCTATTATTGTCACCATTTGATGGATGAGGATGGCATGGCTCACATAGCTCATAAGTAGCAGAGCCAAGATTGGAATGCAGATGTGTTTGGCTACAATTATCATGCTCTACTCATTGTGCTTCTTTCCAGTATTTAGTGTCAGGTTTCTGCCTGCACACCTAATGGTCGTGAAGCTTATCAACTCATGTGACAGCCTGTTGCATAGTATCCTGGGTATTTTCTTCATTGTGAAAATCTAATCTACTGATACATATCTACCCATTATATAACAATGATTAGAATTTCCTTGCTTCCCCATGACAGTCTTTGAGTGGACTTTTAGTAATACATGGGAAAACATTTTAATTATCTCTGTTTAGCTTGTAAAAATAAGCTCCTTGACAGTGGAATTCAAGCTGAAAGGTGTAAATATATTCAGAGTCTGTGGATACAGATAGATTTTTCTTTCAGCCAGCTCAGTGTCACCACAGCTACATCTGGTTAGTCCCACAATCCTCAGAATCCCCAGAAATGTGATGAAGATTCCTAGAACCTCTCTCCAGTCCCCCCAGACAGATTAATCTTGTGGTAGGTTAGGTGTTAAGAACTAGGAATAGAAACTCCTCTTAGCCCTATTAGTCTACAAGTCCAATTTTACTAGGCCCTGCCACCACCCACAAACTAAACTCACATCCTAAGTCCTATCTAGGTTGAGTGGGCATGGGATAATTGCTATGCTTTTTCTGATAATGCTCCTTAGGTCAGTGATGCCCCCGATTTCTGCATTTCTCATTAATTAATTCTAACTCTCTCTGTTCTAGTGTCCCGATATAACTTCATTCACATATTGAACTCAATTCCTGCTCAAGTACTGGGTTTTGCATGCTTTTGTGCAATGCTCAGTATATATCTGCACTTCCGGATGCAAGGTAAATGGGTCAGGGACTCTCCCTTTTCCTGGAAATCTGTTTCCTGGGGGGTTGCTTAGTCAAGCTTCGTGACTTTCTCATTATCACCAGGAATATCAGTGGTTTGGGTGACATCTTAAAGGACCATATTCCAACACTAAGATTCTTGTGGGGGTCAAGGACTGCAGGTCCTGTAACTACTGACAATGTTCTCAATTGTGCTTAAGGACATAGCCCTTCCACTACAAGAAGGAAAAGATATTCTGGCTTCAGAAAATATGAGTGGGTTCAACCACTCATTTACTTTACTGAGCCACTGATGGTGTGCCTTCATGACTCTAAGCTAGTGTTTATCTATTTGCAGCTTAGTGTCTATATTGAATATACAATGTTCCATCTGAGAGTAATATTTATATATACCTCTTCAGTTTGTATGCAATTTCAGAAGGCTTATGAAACATTGAAATCCTACCTTGCACTTAATGTCTATAAAAAGTGGCTATCACTTAGAGGTAAAGTTGATAAACTAATATAGTAACATTCTTTTTTTTTTTTCAGAGAGGAAGGGAGAGGGAGACAGAGATAGAAACATCAATGATGAGAGAGAATCATTGATCGGCTGCCTCCTGCACCTCCCACCCCCTCCCGCCCCCACTGGGGATCAAGCCTGCAACCCAGGTGTATGCCCTTGACCAGAATTGAACCCGGGACCCTTCAGTCCACAGGCTGTTGCTCTATCCACTGAGCCAAACCAGCCAGGGCAATATAATAATATTCAAAAATATGATTTTGATAATTGACAATTCTTAATTACTTAAAGAACTCTAAGGAAATGTATATACAAGATAATTACCACCAGACAGGCAAAAGACCCCTGCAACTTTATTTTACTTGAAGTATTGCTTTTAAACCACAAGGAAGAATGTTAGAGAATTAGGGTGGTCACCAGCAGGGCTCTCTACCTTCCCTCAATTCCCATCCTCATGCTTAATAGGCCTTGACCAACAACATAGTATATAGGACTTTTGTTCAACTCTTTCCATTGAAATTTATAGAGCCCTGCCTTCTAATTTATCAAACCAATGGATAAAGAGATCATATTTTTCCGTACTCAAATAAAATTAATGTTTGTATAAACAACTCAAGCACTAGAAAAAATGTGTGTGTGTGGGGGGGGGGGCAGGCAGGGGAGAGGACAGTAAATGCAAGTCAAATTTCCCCTTGGTTTTAGGTTTTTCTCTTTTATCACATTGAATGTATTGTGCAACTTCCTTCTGTCCTACAAAGTGTATAATAAAAAATCAGCTGATGGTCTTATAAGCAGTCCCTTGCATGTAACTAGTTGTTTTTATCTTAATGTTTTTAAGATTCTCTCTTTATTTTTTAACTTTTAACATTTTAATTATGATGTGCTTTGATGTGCACCTCTTTGGGTTCATCTTATTTGGAACTCTATATGCTTCCTGAACTTGGATGGCTGTTTCCTTTGCCAAGTTAGGGAAGTCTTCAACCATTATTTCTTCAAATAAGTTTTCTGTACTTTCCTCTCTCTCTTCTTCTGGGCCCCCTTTGATGCAAATATTAGTTCATTTGATGTTGTGCCAGAGGTTCCTTATTCTATCCTCATCTTTTTAATTCTTTTCCTTTTTGATCTTCCAATTGGGTGATTTCCAGTATCCTGTCTTTTTTTTTATTGCTGATCCATTCTTCTGTGTCATCTGATCAGTTATTGATTTCCTCTAGTGTATTTTTCATTTCAGTTGTTATATTTTACAGTTCTGATAGGTTCCTTTTTACAGTTTGCATCTCCTTTCTGAAGTTTTCCATTTGTCTGCAGAGTTTGATGAGCATCTTTATGACTATTATTTGAACTCTTTATCTAGTAAACAGCTTACCTCCATTTTTAAAAAAATAACTTTTAAAATATATTTTTATTGGTTTCAGAGAGAAAGGGAGAAGAAGAAAGCGATAGAAACAGCAATGATGAATGAGAATCATTGATCAGCTGCCTCCTGCATGCCCCCTACTGGGGACTGAGCCTGCAACCAGGCATGTACCCTGACTGGAAATTGTATCATGACCTCCTGGTTAATAGATTGATGCTAAACCACTGAGCAACAATAGCTGGGTGCCTCCATTTTGTTTAGTTCTCTTTTTGGGGGTTTTGTGTTGATTTTTTTTCCTCTTTGGAACATATTCCTTTGTCTCCTCATTTTACCTGTTTGTGTCTATGTACTAGGCAGATTAAGTTATGTTTACTGGTCTTGAAAAAGTGGCCTTATTTAGAAGGTGTCCTATGGGTCCAGTGGTGGATTCTCACCTTATCAGCAGAGCCAGGTGCACCAGAGAATTTTCCTGCTGTTGTGGTTGAGCTACAACTGCTCAGGACACACTAGCGGGTTAGGCTGGTCCCTGGCCCAACTGGTTCTAAGGCTTAGCTGCAGCTGCTGTGGGCATGCTGTGTACACAGCAAGACTTTAGTGTGGCTAGCTATGAGGCCCAGCCTTGACTGTTGTAGACACAATAGTGTGTGCTGGTGGCAACTGAGAATACCCATAGGGTGTGGCAGGGCAGGAGCTGCTTTGAAGAGGTTCCAGCTGGGTGGTTCCTCAGGGAAATGCCAGGGTGGGGTGACAATGTTAGAGGTTAATGGAGAGTATCATAAATGGTACCTACTAGTGTCAGACCAAGTAGGTGGAAGAGAGTAAAGAAAGGGAAAAAATTGCTTCTGTTCCTCAAGAAAAGAGATCCATGTCCCTACAGCCCACTCCCTAAAATTAGTTAATGTATCACCTTCCCATATGACCTGGGTGCTTTTCAGACTACTGCCTTTCCGCTGAGACTCAGAAAGAGCACAACTTTATTTCCCTACAGCCTTTTGGTTCTCCCACCCATAAGCTCCACATATTTTCAAAGCCATATCTTATAGGGCTTCTTTTCCTGGTGCTGGTTCCCAGGCTGGGGCTCAGACCCCTTGTTCTTTGATGTGGACCTCCTTATTGTGATATGCCTCCCTTTTGTGGGTCACTGCAAAGAGAGTGGGTTAGGGGGGTCCTGACTCTACTCAGTCTCTATCTCCCATGCCCATTTCAATGTGGCTTTTTCTTTATATCATTAGGTAAGTTCCGCTAGTCTTCAGGTCATTTTCAGAGGTAACTGTTCTACATTTAGTTGTAGTTTTGAAATCAATAAAAGGAGGTAAGCTCAAGATCTTTCTACTCCACCATCTTTTTCTTTTTTCTGGTGCACTGTTCCTGGAAATACTATAAAACCTGGTCAAAGCATGGAGTGGATGAAGCAGCTCTTATTCCATCTCCCTGTCCCAAAATACATTTAATATATTATAGATAGTGGAAATATAAGATATTAAGCTGATAAGAACAGACACTACACTTGATCTTAGCCAAAAGGTTGAGAAGCAATCTTACTCCACCATCTTGAATCCAAAGCCAGGAGCCTTGCTCTTGAATGCCAACTTAGCTTGTCTGTGAAATATTGTTCCTTGTGGTTTGTGTCCTTTCCCCCAACAAATGTGTCTCCGGATTGCCAAGTCACTGCCTCTGCTCCTATGTGTTGAATTCTATCCTTTTTAATGCTATTGTAAGCAAAGTTGCTTTCTAAATTTTACATTGATCTTGACCATTGCTAATTAAAGAAGTGCACTGATTTTTGTATTTGGATCTTATATCCTGAAACCTTGCTAAATTCATTTATTCATTATTTATTTGTTCTAATACTTTGTGTGTGTATGTCTCTCTGTGTGTGAATTCCTTAGGATTTTCTATAATATAAGATTATGTTATCTGTGAATGAGATTTACATTTTCCTTTGCAATCTGAACACTTTTTCTTTCTTATTCTTGCCAAATTGCCCTGACTAGGGAATCCAGTGCATCATTGAATATATGTGGTAAGAGCAAGCATCCTTGTATTGTCACTGATCATAAAGGGACATCATTAACTCTTTCACTACATAGTTTCATGTTAGCATTGGGTGTTTTTATAGATGGCTTTTTATCAAATTGAAAATTCTTTTCACCTGGCCTCAGTGGCTCAGTGATTGATCATCAACCTATGAACCAGGAGGTCTCAGTTTGATTCTAGGTCAGGGCACATGCCCTGGTTGTAGGCTCGATCCCCAGTAGGGGGCATGGAAAAGGCATCGGATCAATGATTCTCTCTCATCATTGATGTTTCTATCTCTCTTTCCCTCTCCCTTCCTCTCTGAAATCAATAAAAAAAATTTTTTTTAAAGAAAGTTCTTTTCTGTCCCAGACTTTTTTATTGCTTTTATCATGAAAAGTCCTTGTGTTTCATCACGTGCTTTTTCTGAATCTATTGAGATGAATATGTTGTGTAGTCTTTTATTAATTGTATTATATTAATTTGCAGACATTAAATTAACCTTTCATTGCTAGGATAAGTCCCACATGGTCATGGTGAATAATATCTATAATAATGAAGGTATAATATGCTAGTTAGATTGGACATCCCTCCGGACAACCTTCCAGAGAAAGCCGGGGCTGGGAGGGAAGCCCGGGTCCTGTGTGCCGCAGGGAAGCCGGTGCCAGCAGCCAGGGGAAGGAAGGCCTATTCTTGCAAGAATTTTGTGCATCAGGCCTCTAGTTTTTTATATAAGGCATGGTTTGGTTTGCTAGTATTACCTTTTTAATTGAGGAATAATTTCTTCTGGTTCAGAACTTTGTCTATAAGATATATTTGTTGTAGTTTTCTTTTCCTGTTATGTCTTTGTCTAGCTTTAATATAAGTAACTAGAGGCCCGGTGCACAAAAATTTGTGCACTGGGGGGGGGGGGTCCCGCAGGGC